TTTCTGTGCTTGAGCTTCAGTCTAAATGAATTAAATGAAATTAAATGAATTTCTGCAATTTCCCTCACGGGATTAATAAAGTATCTATATAAATTGAAAAACCTTGTGGTGTTACTCGATTCTTGCTTAAAATTCAACCCAAATATGCAGCATGTTGTCAAAACATCATTTTTTCTCCTCAGAAATATTGCTAGACTACACCCTATGTTATCACTAACTGTGGCATCAATCCAATAGAACATTTGTGGTGTGATCTACAACAAAACAAGCAAAACTTGCCGAATCTGAGCAAGTCCCAGAATAGTCAAACATGACTATTGAGAAGAATAGCTAAACTTATTAAAAGGTTGCAGGAAGTGTCTTCTCTAAGTTTCCAAAGCCAAAGTAGAATCAACAAAATACAGATTCCTGTGGTCTGAATAATTTTGAACATTTATCTATGTAGAAAACCCTATTCATTATTTTGGACAGATTTGTTTCTGCATCTCTTAATACTGATAGCCGTATCATTTTCATATGACATTTTTGCAAACAATATAGAATGTCCATTTGTAGTTTTTTGGTAAATCCAACTTTTAGTTGCATTGTATTAAGAATATGACACAGACAAGGCACCTCTGTGTTTAGTTTTAGGCCCATACCTGCTGTAAGGTCAGCAAAGTGCTACAGTCGCTATGCATTATAGTCTGAGAACAATCTGAAATTTTAAATTAATGTTTATATAATTTAAAGCACTTGCATGCTACTGCTTTAATATGGAACTGCAGTAGCAGGGCACGTGAATTTTAGCAATGCAGTAGGATGCTTTGCTAAATCACTGAAAACTGTTTCAATTTACTGAAACTTATTAAACAATTAATGAATTATCAATTATTATTACAGAGAGTGTTCAGAAAATTCAGATAAGCATCTCTCTACAAACAAACTTCAGAAAGAGATGCAACACGTTAAACCCGATATCTCCAAAGTCAGAATCATCTTCTGCAACCAGCAACAAAGATAATAAAAAGGCCATTTGTACATATGCAATTAAACTCAAGTTTTCAAAACTCAGACATGCATTTTCTTAAAAAGTAAGAAAACATGGAACTCATTTTATTTCAACAGCCCTTTACTTTATATACTATGTAAAAAGGACAAAACAACCAGAGACTAGTCTAGACATGGTTGCTGCAAGGAACACATCTGAGGGCTGAGTATTTACTGCATTGCTTGTTAACCGATGAGAATACCACACCCAAAAATGATATTCCCCTCATCTCTCTGTCTCCTTTCACTTCTTATTACTTATTTGTTGTATTCGTGTGTTAGGCTTGGCAGGGGAATTTTTTAGGTGTTTCTGGTGGCAGGTTTTTAGTTTTTTCTGGTACTTTCCAAAAGGGGAAAGTAAGACCTTTGCCACATACACTAGGCTGGGCTGGTGGAACGGTGACACCGTGGACAGGACAGCATTGCTGCCTCGCAGCACTGGGGCCCTGGGTTCGATTGCTGGGGTGATATCTGTGTGTACTGTTTAAAACAAAATGTTTTGTGTTCTTCCCTGGTTGGTGCTGGTTTTCTCCAGGTACTCCAGTTTACTCCCATAGTTCACAGACATACTGGTAGGTTAATTGTTTTTTGAGATAGATGGGTCAGGTGATAGTGTATATGTCTTTCTGTCTATGTGTGTCCTGCAGAGGACTGCTGTCCCATCCAGGGAGTATCCTGGCTTGTGCCCATTTCTTGCTGGGATAGTTTCTGATTTTCCCACACTGAAGCTGTTAGAAAATGGATTTCAGGAATAGGGTGGGCTCTCTTCTGCTGTGGTTTCAAAAGTTCCATGCTCCTGGCTATACAGACTATGACTCGTATTGGAGAAGTGCACACTTTCGGGAAAACCAATCTGGAAAAAAGTGACCAAAAATATTTTACTGGTATTTCCAGTTTCTGGAACAATACAGTTAGGTACATTGTGAATCCAGGACCTGGCACAGAAAACCGCAATGTGCAAGTCCAGGCGCTATGCCAGTGTGGAATATATTTTATACATTGCAAAAACCACCTTAATATCCCTTGTTAATATTCATCTGACGCTCACATGGTTCTCATGTGACACTCGATTTCAGTGTGCAACAGCACTGACAAGTACTCAAGTACAGCTTGTGCAGTGTGTTAAAAGACTTTCAACAAACTAAGCACAACACAAAAACAGATAGTTTTAGTTGTTACTACAGAAAACCTGGAATATGTCAGTAGTGTGGGCACTGGTTGTGTTTCTGGCTTGTGTGTTCAAATGTAAGACACTGCTGTTGTACCTCTGAATTTTTCTAATAAAATACCCAAAATATGAATGGGTGCAAATGTTGGGTAAATGTGTTAGCATAAATTATACTTATAAAGGGGATTTATATTTTAATTTTATTTATAAATATAAATATTTATGTTTAAGGAGCATTTTTCTGGACACTCCACTCAAAGCGCTTTACAGGTGCAGTAATGGGGACTCCCTTCCACCACTGTGCAGCATCCACCTGGATGATGCGACGGCAGCCATAGTGCCACCACACATCAGCTATTAGTGGGGAGGAGAGCAAAGTAATAAAGCCAATTCATAGATGGGGATTATTAGGAGGCCATGATTGATAAGAGTCAATGGGAAATTTGGCCAGGACACAGGTTACACCCCTACACTTTTCGAGAAACACCCTGGGATTTTTAACCACAGAGACTCAGGACCTCAGTTTTACATCTCATCCAAAGGACGGAGCCTGTTTACAGTATAGTGTCCCCGTCACTATACCGGGGCATTAGGACCCACATAGACCACAGGGTGAGTGCCCCCTGCTGGCCCCACTAACTCCACTTCCAGCAGCAACCTTAGTTCTTCCCAGGTCTCCCATCCAGGTACTGACCAGGCTCACACCTGCTTAGTTTCAGTGGCTTAATAAATGGCTTAACATAGTGTTTTTGCACCAACATGTGTTAACACTTCATATGGTAAATACCATGCAAGAATGATAACAAAAATAGCATTAATAAAATATCATAATTGATTAAGTTTCTTAAACCCCCAATAAAATAAACTGACAAAAATGCATTAAAAATCTCAGGATGCCTTTATTCAACTTTATATTCACAGAGTTCATATCAAATTATTGAAATACCATTAAAAATGCTCTAGACAAAGCAAAATATCAAAACAAGAAAAAATCGAATTTTACATTAATAAACCAGAAACCTGGTTGATAGCCACCACCACTAAAAAGATATTTGTGAGTGACTATATTATTTCAAATCTAGAATACAACATTATTCTATATAATTAGTAGAAGGTTTTCAAACATACTTGGTTGCTGTTACTAAACCAAAAGTTTGACTTCAGAATAATTATTGTAAAGATTCCTTTATTACTTGAATTATGCAGCTAAAAATTAGAAATGTGGATCGAATGCTTTTTTATGTTTAACGGCGGAACATGCAAAAGAAAATCCCTAAATTATCCCCCAAGCCTCTCTTAAATTCACCATTCTCTTGTAAACATCCTGGTATTTATTTTTAAAAACGTATTGTCCAATCAGCATTTATATATAGATCTGAAGGGAGGTGCTAAAAGACATAAATGCTTTTAACAAATAAAAATACCTTCATGACATGATACAAGGTCTGTCAACAGTATTAGAAGCTGCAGGAGCTGCAACTTGAATGTAAGTATAACAAATTTATCATTTGAATATGAGATTTTATTAAGAAATTCCTGAACCTGTTTTTCATTTTAATCACAGAGAATATTGTATTCCATTGCATTTTCAGCCTGTGTTTTTTTCACTTTAATATGTAATGACAAATCCGTGTTTCTGGGTTTCTAAACATTTCATTGCACTAAACCGAACTGAACTAAACACAATTTCAGTAAGCTGTGCAACAACTGCCAACCTACCAAATCGCTTGATCATTTCTAGTAAATGTGTATATGTACAAATGTATACATTTATATATGTTGCTGCATCACTTTAATGTGTGTTTCACAAACAGCTTGCTCTTCATCAGAAGTCCATGTACGTAAGACATTTCTGATTTGACGCTAATAATTTAGTCAGCATTGACAGAAAATATTTTAAAATATTGTTAGGGCGTTAAGATCACACGTTTTAAAAGTATGTCTCTACATTATAATGCAGTTTCACTTGTTTAAGAAAGTACAGAGAAAGTCAGAATAAGTACATGATACCTGTCAGTGAGTGTCAATATTAGCAGAGAACTGGGACAAAGAAACATTGATCATCTTATCATAGAAAATTTACAGAGGCATTTTCCGTAGTTTTTATGTTCATTAGTAGTATTTGTAAACTCTGGTACAAGAGGCTCAGCATCAAATGGAAAGTCACAATTCCACTTTAACTTTAAAATCCACTTCCACTTTAAGAATTTACCTGATTTTTTTAAAAAAGCAGAGAAAAAATTGGAATAAAATGATTTGTGAAAATGTGTAAAATGTAAAGAAACTCTTACTGTGGCTGATGTTCCAATTTCATTCTGAACAAATCCTTACCACACAACAGATTGTTATACTGTAGCACTCATTTGCAGGGTAAGGTTATCATTTCCTTTGGCTTAATACTAACTTAATTATGACATTTAAACCATCAACACAATTTGCCACCTTCTTCACACTGTACAAGCAGTTTAGACATAATGGTTTATTTTCACATGCACAAGAAACCATATGAAAGAATCAAAATGACCTAATAAATATACAGTATATACAGACTTTTAGAAACTAACATTGTAAAGTACAGTACTACTAAAGTCTACTCTACTTTAGATGTTTTTTTGTTTACTATGACTTTTCTTATTTTTTTTTCAGGTTAAATATAACTATTTCTCATTTTAAAATGACTAGTGTTTACTACTTATTTTAAATATTGTAACGCAACGGGGGCTCAGGCGGGCGCCCTTGCCGCATCTGGTCGGCCCCATCCAGACTGGAGGCTCGAACCCGGGACTTCCGCGTCTCTCTGCAGCGACCTAGCCCCGTGAGCTA